CTTTTTTTTTTCTTCTTATTATATATTTTAACTCTTATAAGTTCATCGTTGGGCGCTTGTTATCGTCAGAGAACCCTACGATATCTAGACTCATAACATTAAGAATTCAGGGGACGGTCATGTCATCTCCTATTCGTACTACATATGTCCTATCGCAAAGAATGGATATAGCACGCGCATAAGGTATTCTGGCAAATTGTATAAAAATAATTTTGAATTAAACCCTTTAAGTCAGACTTTATTAAGGGCTTTATTAATAGCTAAAAATACCATAACTGTTGATTTCTTGTAATTAAAGGTTTTTTTATTGTTCTCTACGATCCTTAAAATTCGCTATGTTGTGGGGTGTTCTCCTCGAAAACCAAATTCTATAGTTTACGAATTTTTGTATTTTGGAGAATATTGTGCATTCATCAATTTTACAAAGTAATAAAGTAAAGTATTTGGCCGATAGTCTTTAGTATAGGTGCTGGTATTATTAATTTTGGGTTTAAGAATAACTTCTGATCTGTTTTCCATCTCGTAGAAAAGTAACTAATAAATGGAATCCAATAATTTTAAAAGGTACACAACAGCCACTGGAAACAGAGTTTTTAGCATTCGATTCAGTATATCACCAGGGCCCCTACTTTATTTAATATTATTTTATCAATTTCAGTTCGAATCTCCTTTCAATTTTAGACACTTGAGAATCAAGAGGTGATACATCTTTGTGGATGAAGATAATATTTGGTTATGCACAAAAGTATCACTAAAGTAGTGGAGGGCTTGCACTAAGGGGATATACTTCCTGCAAATATGTTGGTCTTTTCCTTGTTAGAATAAGCGATTTCTCCTCTACTATTAAAAGTGGTATATCATTGAACTTGTTGAATTTTAAGATATTGTCATTTACACATATAGAATTATTGGACGGTTTTAAAGAATCGTATCTTCCAATCCCAAAGGTTGTTAAAAAAAGCATTTAGTTTGCGTTTATTTACAAAACTTATTTTATTAAAGGCAAACTTGTCACATGGTACTCGTTTTTTCATAAATATTCTTTTTAGACGTCTATGTTAATTGATAATTTCCTTAAGGTGAGAGGGAAGGATATATTTGAGGTTATTTAAATTTTATGAGTAGTTGATGAGTTCGCTGAGTAATTTGTCGTGTGCTTAAAAAGAAGGAATAACCCCATTAAATTCAAACGAAGAGGAAGGACCATTGTCTTAAAAAAATTTACCTCTGGGCTCCTCTCTGTGTTGGCCCGGCTTAATTCTCCGACCAGCAATAACACCCGGTCATGATCTGATGATAGTTCATAAAGATTACTAATGTGCACTAGGAACGGAATGTTCTTTAATAAAGCTATCTCTAAGACCTCAACGGAGCCTCTAGTTGAGTTATGTGTGGGTTTAAAGAAGGCTTGAAAAGAATTCCGTTACTTTCCGCCCAAAGTTCTAGAATCTTGCCATTTGGGTTGTCCTTCCTGCTGTTCCAAAAAGAATGCATGCTATTTAGGTCTTCACAGTCAATGATTAGGGTTAGTATTGTTAAGTAATTTAATCTAAATCCTTCAATAATTGTTTCTTCGGAATTTATGGCAGGCAATAATATTTGCTGAGCCTAGTTTTTTTAAAGTGATGCATATACCGGTAGCCTCTATTTATAAAATTTTGATAACTTTAATAAGGAGTGTTATATATGTCTCTCAATAAGTATAACTACGCTTCCCCCTTTTATGTTTTTCCTATCTTGTCGATATATATTACTTTGGTTTATAAAATATATTGCCATCTTTTTAATAAAAATTTTCATGTTAAAATAAGCTCAACATTCGTTCTACTGATCAACTCCTGGGGCTCCCGTTTTTCCACCTGTGAGCCGTCGGCATTCCAGGAAAGTTTTTTAAGATACTTATTATTTAATGGTTGCAGTGTGATTATTAAATTTTGAAATTAAATCACTAGTCGATTTCGATATTTTAGTACTTATCACTGCAGTTGAAGAGTTGATTCTCTCTTTAACAATAAGCTCACCGCGACTAAACGAAAGTTGAGTATGTTTACTATTAAATGCTTAAGTGTAGCTTTTCCCTGAATCTATCGCGTTCTCCCGAGTTTAAGTATAGGGTTATCAGTAGAGTTGTTTTTTCCAAGCAACAAAAACTTCTATAGCTTGCAGTGTGCTCACCTAATGAGGTTAACATAATTGTGTTTGTCTTCTTTAAGTTTAAAGCAGGATCTGTAATAGTGGTTTTCTGCACATTTAACACACTTATTTTGGGAAATGCAGAATTTATCAAAATATCCGAATAGTTGGCATCGAAAAAATTGACCAATTTTCTAGCATTTTTTAAAGGTTCCACTGAAACGGGAATATGACCAATGTTTTTGACTTGAGGCTTTCCTTGCATTAAAGGATCGGATAATAGTTTTAAGTTCCGCACTGGTGTAAGTTTAACCTAATTACATATGTTAGGGTAATCAGTAACTATGCAGGATACATGCTTGAGGTTATGTTTATTTTCGTTAGACTCTTAAGTAGATAAGTGGGCTTGCAGTAAGTTGGCAAATCTCCTATTTCGGTGGGAAGGTGTGGTTATGCCCGTAGACTAAGTAGATCGAATAGCCTTTTTAGTTTCCATAGAAAATTATTCTCTGACCCAGGAAACTCTAATATATTCTGCTAGCTCTTGTTAAATTAAGCTTCCAGCCCTCCTTAACCCGAGTGATGATCTCGTTGTAAAGTTTTCTAACGCCTGGAATACAAAAGTTCATATTTATGAACCTCATATTCGCCTTCTCTTGGTCAGAGAAATGATATGGCCCGATGGGTCATATTGCTGGTTATTGCGCTCTTCATATGAAGTGGACCTACCATAGGCCTCTTTTATAGCACCTTCCGTTTGCACAACAGCCGGGTCTAAATTAGGTGCTTTCTCAATGGGTACGCCATGATATTTATGTTTTTCTCTAAATGATCCCGTAATGATGGCCAAGTAGCTATCTTTTTAACTCTGGTACTCGAGCCCGACTAGTCTCCTCTCTCAATGAAGAGGGGTATGATCAGAAGAAAGTTAATATAGCGTATTGACGATGTAAAATACGTAAATATGTTGTGTTACCGTGATACCTAAAGCCACAAGCTCTTTAATCTGTGAAATGCGTAGGGCCTCCAATAACAATTAAAACCTTTTTCGTCGACTATTATTTCGGCAAACCTCTCTTCTTTGGTGCTCCCCCTGCTATTCCACAAAGGGCTTTTACAGTTTAAATCTCCAGTCATTAAGAAGATGAAGGAACACGCAAAAATCTTCAGAATAAAATGTGCCCATAACCTCAGCAAAGATTGTAAGTAGCAACAATGTCGACGTTTCCATTGTAACGGAGCTCTTTTATTCACTGCGATGACTTTTAAACTTACCAGGTCGGAAACGTAGAGCACTCGATGGGTAATGTTTTTTTTAATTAAAACAGCCACGCCTCTTCCTCCAACATTCCTATCGCGCCTGTAAACAGAATAGTCAGGTACTCTATATTCGATTACTTTTCTTCAGGGCGCTTCAGAGATTACAATTATGTTCAGGGTCATTCAGGCGATAAGTCCCTGTAGGTCTGGCTTCTTCCAATGAACGCCGTAGAATTAAATACCAAAATCCTTAAGGAACTAAGAGCTGGCCTCTATTTCTTTAAAGTTTATAATAGCTCCGTTATGACCTTTGCCAGATGCGAGTTGATCACATTGGTAAGTGTTGCTACAAGTTGGTTATGATGTCGTTTGAGGGAGCTGTATTAGTCGCTTCAGGTGGGGGTAAATTCAGTTTAGTACGCTGTGCATACCTTATATTTAGCTGAAATGTTTTTTAAATTTTTTCTCATACGCGCACTTTTCGGGTAGTGTAGGCATCCTCTATAACTTGAAGTACGCCTCCTTTGCCAGTTGGCATGAGTAGGCTTTTTATTCTCGCTTGTAGTGCAGGATTTCTACTCGTGAGGGCTACCGCATTTGAATGCATTCGGAGCTTGATTTACAGCATTCTCTGTATGTCCAAATAGTTGACATCTCTCAATCGGGTGTGATTGAAGACTTATTAGTGAATTGCCTATAATCGATAAGATGTCATTATTTTCTTAACATTAACAAATAAAAACTACCGCTTACGTGCGTCACGTGGAAGGCGATAAAGTGTTCGTCTCATGGCTCGTAAATAAGTCCGCTTACCAGAGGCGAGTAGTATGCCTGGCTAGTCTGTTGTATAGGGTAATTGCATTGCATTGAGCTTCGTTTCACACAAACTAAGAATTCTATGTCAAAACACGCAGCAATTTGTTCTGTGGCCCTTGAAATGCCGACGCTATTGCAGTGGAGCCATAGACCCATGCAGCAGACGCGTATGACATGATTAGCTAAATAGAAGACAAGTATAATTGCCGTTTCTTTCGCAAAGAAAGCTTATACTTGCCGCGAAGTAAAGGATAAAGCGCCTTGGTGACTGCCTTGACCTTCGCCACTACATAGTGCACGTTAGGCTACCAAAGAAAATTTGTGTTGACTCCCAATTATTTCGTCTTAGAAACCCCGGAATCTTCACACCATTTAAAGGTTGAGGGCATCAACAAAGGGACGCGTTTCTTTGAAATTAATGTAGCTTTGCTCTTCATCGCATTTATAGTAACCTTCCAATCACGGCACCAGACAGCCAAGGGTGTCAAGATAACGCTGTAGATGCTTGCATAGCAAAGCAGAAGACTTCGAAGAAAAATATACGGTTGTATAATTAGCGTGGAGGGAAATTCGTGTATGGGGGTCGGAAGGCATGAGCACATTCGCTCATGTAACTGGCAAATAAAAAAGGGGTCAAAGAAGTGATCCCTGGAGGGCTCCCTGCTGCCAGAGATCGGAGTGGCGACCGTGTATCTCCCACGCGCACGCTGAAGACGCAACCATTCAGATATTTCAGCATGTTATAAAAACCATAGGACGGATAACCAGCGCAGCCTGTGCAGCAGACCTTCATGCTAAACTTAATCAAGCGCCCTTTCAACGTCAAGGAAGATAGCGCCTGTTGTCTTCTTACGCTTAAAAGCTTGAGTGGTTGGCCCATTCAGTTAAGCGGGGAAGCTGCTGGACCGTTGAGTGTTCTTGCCGTAATTTAAACTGAAACTCTTGTAAAGCTTTTCGAACGTGCACGACCTCTTTTAGACGGCGCAGTAAAACGCCTCACCCACTTTGCTGGTCGCTGCCAATAGACTGATGGGTCGGAACTTGCTAGATGGTGGTTCCGGTTTGAGTGTTTTTTGGTAGCGTAGCAGCGATCGCCGTCTTCCATCGAATCGGAAAGGCGCCAAGGAGCTTGGAGCATCGAAGATTCTACTAGGCGAAGATTCTACTAGTCGGTACAGAGACTGCCCCCCTGCTGATATGGCATATTCTTCAGCATCTCGTTAGCGATGCCATCGAGGGGGTCAGGCGCGCGCTTTTACTTTGGGTAACGCTTCGACAGTGGTTTGCAGCTCGCTAACGTTAAACTAGCATCCGAGGTTTGTAGACCTCAATAAGGGGTAAGCTTAGCTGAGGGAGCCAACATTGGAAGTTAAGTGAGCAGCTGGCACACTTTGGGGAAGCAAGGAGATGAGCTAGAAGAGTAGCTTTTGTCTCCATCACACTCGGCCATTGTATTTCCTTCATGAAGGGGGGGTAGTGGGGCAAGTCCCCGATTTTTGATCCTTTTAACAAATTTCCAAAAGTAGGAGCGGTTGTTGCTGCCTGCTTTCGGATATATAGTGCGGCTTGGCCTCCCGTTTATTGTTAAAATGGGCCCTTAGCTTTTTTTTAATGTACCTGTGCAGTCGATTAAGCACAAGCTTGTCTCTGCGTCAACAGGGCCGCTCGGATAAGACGTCGACTTTGGCAGGTGAGTGCCTTTAGTCCGTCAGACAGGCGGCTGAGGCCACACATGTTTATTATAAATATAAATATATATACCCTCTTTATTAATGCAATTACTTTATAAGGTGCCTAATAAAGAGTAAATAGTTACCCTCAATTACTCAAATTTGGAATCCGTGCTATAAGGTGGTTACATTCTAACTCTTCCTTTGTTAACAAGTAAAAATAAAATGATTTTATCAATAATGAGACCTCAAACATTGATTAACGAAAAAGCAAAAAACCAAATTTAATACATTTACGAAAAAAAACTTAACCAATACATTCTTAATATCAAAAAAATTTTAAAATAAACCATTCCACCGTGGTTATAAACCCTAATTTATGAAAAAAATATATAATAAATTTGATGAGGATATATGCATTTGATTCTAACAAAAAAAAATTAATCTTGGAAGTAATATATTGTTCCATATTAGTTATTACCTTACCCTCCTAATTATACCTTACCTACTTATTAGCTGTCTATTCTATCTTTATATATCTATTTTATTAATTTATATTAATTCCTTACCGAACAGTGACACAATAGTTTGGAATACTCAGGTTGAGGACTAGGAGAATAGCCTATGGTGGCCTTGCACAAACCTCAATAGGACGTACTTTAATAAAAATAATATAACTAATACAAAGACTTTAGACTCAGGTGTATTAAAGTTAAGTTATTAATGAAGTGAAACTATAAAATATTTATCTGCTCGCATATCTTGCCTGTAGAAAAGGTTGTAGGCCCCTCTCGCTATTTTCAACTAATTTTAAAAAATGCCCAGTGTCTATAATCTGATACTTCTTAGATATTGATTGCTAGGTAAAATAATTTAACTTCTTTACTACTGATTCTAGCAGAGACCTAGAGGAAGTTAATGGTTATGTTTTCGGTGGGTTAAGGTGCATACACTCCGATTGTAAGTGTAGCGCTTATTATGTTGGGCAATTTTGTCAAGAAATTTGAAGAGGAGCTTCTGTTGCTCAAAAGTTGTGAAGAGTAAATAATATCTCTTTTATTTTTTCTCTGCAACGCATAATATTGCACTATCATCTGACTTATGTGATAAAAGATATGAACTTAAAACAGTCTTATGTTATTATTAACATTTTTAGACAACAACATTTAATTAATAAAAAATTTAAAATACTCATAATTGCGCCAAAATTCTACTTGAAAAGCCTTAGTTCGTAGTATTTTATTTTGCCTTCTATTTTTTTTTTTTGCTTTTCTGTCTTACAAAAGAGTTTCAAAATATATAAAAGATGAAACGTTACTGTTATTCTAATGATGCGCTTTCAGGTTTTTTTTAAATTAAAGCAACTTTAAACTTTATTTTTACCGTGCAATTGAACCTTCATTATTTTAAAAACCAAAGCTTTATAACTGCTAAGATAAGTGTTAAGCAGTGAATTTGAATAAAGATCTAATGTTTTGAGCTATGTTGGCCTTAAAAACATTTTCTGATAATAAAATTTGTAATTAACTTTTGAAAGTTACTGAACCATCGACTACTGAATCTTCGCTTACTTATTCTACCCGCCTTCCAAAGAATCATACGCTCAATTTTTCCAGGTAACTGTTGTGGATTATAAACTTTTTTATATTTATAAATAATTTTTTTTTATATGAAACTAAGAAATACCACCTCGAAGGGAACCGCTTCATTGACTTGCTCCTCTACCGGGACTTGCACCACCTCAACGACTAATAACACTTGCATCGGTATTTTCTAAAGCACGTCAGCTGTATAGAGGAACTGATCTAAGTTTTACTATATAAAATAAATAATGATTATTGAATAAATTTTTTTTGAGGAAGTTTCGCATTATAACAATGTAATTATAGCGGTGGTAGTCGGAAGGGGATTGGCTTGCGAAGTAGGAATGGCTGTAATGGGTACTAAATTAATTTTTTATTAAATTTAAATAGTAACCTATTATTTTAATAGATCTTCATTCGCCGTATAAAAAATAAAAGAATATACAAACTTTTATATACAATAAGGAAATTTTTTCTAACCAAAAGGGAGTTGATCCTTCTTCAATTTTCGGATAACCAAACTTTTGTCAAAACGCTTACTACGCTCGAGTTTTATGAACCTTCAGATGTAAATTTATTTGTCGTTTTCTTATATTTTAGAAAAATGTTTTACTAAAATGTTCTTAAAAATTAAGTTATATATGTATTCCTATCGCTTTTTCTATAAATTTGTTTATAACTTTTTTTATACTTCTTGCCTAATTTTCAACAAAACTTTTTACTACTACTATTTTTTCAGTTCCTTTTCTATAATGGACTGGACTCTTTATTATAATAATTATTAAACATTAAAGCTAAAAGTTTAACTCTTTTTCTTTATAATTCTTGAGCTATTATATAAGTAGTATAAATAAGTAAATACTTTAACTATTTAAGTGAGAGATTATAGTTTCATATTAAGTATTTTTTAACAATATTTCTTTAGTTGAAACTAAATATATAATAAGTAATTTATAAACTTAATAAAAACTTTTTTTATTTTGAATTTTAAATATATAATAATTTAAATTACTAAACATTTCGTGAATTTCTTATAATTATATAAATTATAATTAACAATGTATTAATTTTTTTTTTAAAGTTTAAACTGTATATACTGAAAAGACTTGTACTGTATAGCTTTTTACCAACTACCTTTGAAAAATTTCGAGAATATTTGACAATATTCCATATTTTAAGTAAAAAAAAATAAGTTTTTGAGAAAGAATTTTAAATAAAAATAAACTATTATTAATTCTGTTTCCCACTACCGCAAAGAAGTTGTCTCTAAGAAAATATCTTATAGTCAGAAACCTTCTTAACTTATCTAATATCTTCACAGTTGCTAATGCCAAGCACTGCATGCGATGCGACCAAAATATCTAGCATCTACCGGATTGTGAGCCAGAGACTCCCCTCTACAAACTTAACTTGTGTAGCTAGAAAATATTTTAATGAAACTCACGGTTTAATATTAGCCTATTTGTCATACATTTGTATATAAAAATTTAATATATTTACTTATAATTATTTATTAATGAGTATTAATATTGTTAATGTAGAGAGGATTTTAATATATTATAAATTTTATAATAAAAAAAATATACAAATATTATTAAGTAGATAATGTGATTATTATTATTTTATAAGTCGTGCAATTATAAAATATGTATATATTAATGTGATTATTATTATTTTATAAGTCGTGCAATTATAAAATATGTATATATGAAAGTTGTTAATAACTATACATTAATAATTATTATTTTTAAAATAAAATTGTTCATAATAAATTATTTTCTGTAATAATATCAATATTTAAGGTCTCGAGTGGATCCGTGAGACCAGTTGTCCTGAATCAGATTTTAGTTTAGATATTGAAATTTCTACAAAGTAACTTTTTTTTTTTCATAATTATATAAGGAGTTTTAGATAAAAAAAATGGAAAAAAACATTCAAGAGTTTAATATAGAAAAATATTTAGTTAGGCATCCTACAAAGTAATTAAATTTATAATAGATAATAAATATAAATTGACATTAAAAGTTTATCTAGGCATTAAAATTTTTACAAAGTAATTAAATTTATAGTAGATAATATATTTAAGCTGACATTAAAAGTGTATCTTTTTCTACAAAAAAACATCACTTGCAAAATTTTAAAAAAAAGAAACTTAATATTTATTTAGGTAGACATAGAAATTTTTGCAAAGTAACTTATCTTTCTTAATTAATTAAGAAATCCAACTGACATATTGTATTAAAAAAAGATTTTTTCAATTTAAAAAAAAATAGAAATTTGTTAATATTTATTTTAATAAAAGGTACTACTGTCTTGCCTCTGCCAGTGCACTTATGAAATATTTGGATTTCGTCAAAAATATTATATATGCACCAGGCATGCTAATGATTATTTTAAATTACCCATTCTATTATGAAATATTTATTATAAATATGGAAGAGCTATATTTTAATTATATTTTAATCTGTCCTTTATTTTATTTGTAAAATAATATTATGATAATACCTTTAAAAAAGAATTATGTGTCATAATTACTAAATAACTTTCTTATTATTTATTTATTATTGTTACCATTATAAATTAAACTGTGTTTTTTATCTATCTTTAAAAAAATTGTTCAAGTATTCTGTAAATCATATAATATTTATATATAATAGAAATAGTCAAATCTCATCAGTATAAATTAGTCAAGAAAAGTTATATATTAACAAATTAATTCTATAATGCTTTTGTAATTATAAGTTTCGAGTAATATTATATACATAAATTTAATTAATTTATATTTTAATAATTATTTCATTTAATCTATAAATTTATATACTTTTTTATTAACGTTTATATTTTCATTTAATATTTTTAAATAATTTTAAATAAAAAATAATTCTAAGCATTGATGTACTTGAAATTTCTAAACATTCTCTTTTAAGTTAGTTTTACTTTGGAATATTTAAGATGTTTTCCGAACCAATGAGAGTATTATTTGTTAGTTATTAAGCTTTATTTCGGCTTTCGATTAAGTGAAATTAATTTAAAATGTATTGGTTTATTTTAATTAATTTATCTTATTTAAAAAATATTAACTTAATTTTTTTCGTGTTCTTAATTAGAGTTTTATAAATTTCCTTCTATATATTATTATTTTTAGGGATTTATTAAAGCTTTTTTAAAAAATTTAGAATATGACTTTCTTTTTGGTTTTGATGCTAATTACCTTCAATTTTTATAATGATTTAACAGTTATTATTACTTTTTCCGCTTTCTAATAGAACTATAAAAAACAATAATAATTTATATGACTACTCAATCCTAATTTAACATTTTTAAAAAGTTAAACGAAATATCAGTTTCCTGTTGAGCTTAAAAAAACTTTTTTTATTATTACTTACCATTACTTTATAAGAATACATTTAATAATATATAAAACTGTTTACAATTTTTTAATGATAAATTATATTTTATAAATGAATATAAGTCTTTTAATATCAATTAAATAATAAATAATTATCATTATCATTTCTATACTTTTTTAAAATAAACGTTTTTAAAAATGTAATGTGAACTTTCTTCCTTTAAAATTTTGTTAAAAAAGATAATTATATTTTAGTTGTAATTACTTACAATATTATCAGTTTTACTGTAATAATAATATATATAAACTTATTAGGAACGTTAAAGTTTAAGTTTTTAAATGGCTTTCATGCAATGATGATTGATTGTAAGCTGTTTGTAAAGTGTATAATAATGATACTTTTATATTGTCGCTAACGTATTAATTTTTTTGGCAAACTAATAATATTTTTAATTTTATTAAAAATATAAATTTTAACTGAATTATTTTTTCGTAACCCTTTATTTCGCGGAATATCTAAAAAAAAAATCAATTAGTACAATTTCCATAATTATATACATTTTTTTAGTAAGATAGTTAAATATTTTATATCTTGAAAAGTTATTAAATAAAATAGATAATTAATTATATTTACATTTTTATAAAATGTAAAGTTTGCCAAAGTAATTATATTATTAAAGAAATTTAAATTATATTAAAATACTATAACCATTGTTATCTACTGATACTTATGGTATGCAAAGCGGGCTCTGCTAAACAACTTGAGCTTATTTGTAATAATAGAAATGTTAAGGTTCTTTTTTATTTCATATTAATAATATAAAAATTATCTAATTTTTATTACTTTATTTATTCTCTCGATGCTTTTCAAGAACATTTTATATTTACTAAACATAACTAATTAACTTTCTAGAATTATTATTACTAATAGACTTTCTCCTTATAAAGCTTATATTTAAGATAACTATAAAATACTTTGACTTTTTTTTATGGAAATAATAATTGAAATCGCAATTATTATACTTTTGTATTACTTGAGAACATTTATAAAAAAGATGTTGCAATCCATAAATGTGTATTTTTACTTTAGAGGTCACAAATATTATATTGAACGTAAGAATACTTATTAACATGAATAAAAGTTATTATTATTAAGTTTATTTTTGTAAAGCTATAAATACTGCGCTTCCAACATTCTCATATATTAGCGTTAAATTAAATTTTAGTGCGAGTTTTAACTTTCCCTTTTATTTTTATAAAATCAATTTTATTTTAATAAAATGTGTTTGTAATTTGTTATCATTATTTTTTTAAAATGAACATATGTATTTACGCTAATTTATATATTCTTAAAAATTTAAGATAATGTAATTTTTTTATTGTTTTGCTACTGATGCACGTTAGTAATAAAAATAATACGAGAATTTTTATTTTTTTTATAATTTTTTACCAAGTTAAATTGTCTTGTTAATAAGATTTACGTATGTTTTGTGCTTAAATGCCTATTACTTTCTGTATAGATTTTGTAATATACAAACTTTAAAATACAATGCATTGTCAAAAATTTAATAGTAATTTTTTTATACTTTTTATATAACTTTGTAAAATTATTTAAAGTTCTATACAAGACCTGCTTTTTTGTATTATGAAAACTATAACTTTTTACAGAGCAACGCAACATTATATGGATCTATGAAATTTACAAAAACTATTGTAAGTAAATGTGATAATTATTTATTATTATTATCTTAAGCAATCTATATATTTTCGCTCAACTCACTAATTTTATAATGACCCAACTCATTATGTCCACGTGAACTAAGCTTGATAAGTTTACTACGATACTATTATTTATATTATATTATACAACAAACATTATTTAGAATATTGAAAGTCCATATTAAAGTTTAAATCTTTTGCTTTGTAAAGTTTACTTATTTTTTATAACACTTTTTTATTATTTATTTTTATCAGATAAATTTTATTGTAAACTGCTATTCTTATTATAATCGATTATAGAAAAATTAACTGCACATTTATATAAGAGTATTATTATTTTGATTTGGTTGTAAAGTCGTTTTTCAGAAAAGTTGCACTCAAATTTTGTTTATATTATTAAAGTTATTCTTTAAAATTTTTTATTTTTTATTATTATACTGTGTTTACACGTAATAATAACTAACATATATATTAACAGGGAGGAAGTAAAATATTTTATGAAACACTAATCAAATTTCCAGCCCTTGTTTTATACTTTATTACATTCATAAATCTTATGAAGAAAATATATAAATTTGTTTGTATAAAATTTTTTTTTATTTCAAGTGCTGCAAGTTTTATTATTTATAAGTGTAATTATTATTATCTTAAATAGTAAAAAAATCACTTTACTTGCAGTAAGGTTAATTTGTATTAAATTATTAGTACCCAACTTTGTTTCTTATGCATATTGATAAGAAATATTAAAGTAAACTTTTGACTGATGCATTATTGTGTAATTGAAATATTTAATGAAAGCGTCACTTCGCAAACCTTTTAAGGACACTAAATACACCCTCACGTGTTATTATTATCATTGTGAAACGTTAATACTATTATTTTATATTCCTAAATTTTTGTAAATGTAGAGCACTTTAGTTCTTCGTTTATTATATTAATTCATTGTAAAATTACTTTTATTATTACTGATTATTATACTTAGTAACTTTTGTGTTCACACTTTCCGATGATTTATATATATAAACTGGAATAAATTTATAAAATGTTTTAATAAATTTTATCAAATTCTTGTAGGCTTTTATTAATTTATTTCAAGTAATTATAATCATTTAACTATCTCATTAGTAAATTATCTTAAGCATTTAAGTTATAAAAAAAAAATACAATATTAATTAATTTTTTGTTTTACAATAGCCTTCGATTTTAACTGATTAAAACATAGAAAGTAAATTTTTATTATAAATTTATTATAAATAATAATAGATCGTCTGCTTCGGTCTAATATATTACAACCAATTACAGGAATGTTATGTACTATTTTTATTATTTATTTATTTACTTAATGTTACTATGAACAGACCTTCAAACTATCAATTCTCGACTTGACTGCGTTAGCGAGTTTATTGAAAAGAAGGTTTTATATTTTTAATTGTATTTATTATTAATGGTAATAATAATCTCTTTCTCAAATTAGCCTCTTCTTTTTGGTGTACAGAAAGGTATATTCTAATTTTCATTTTTTTATCAAATTATTATTATGATTATTATTTACACCGGAAAAGTTTTAGAGAAGTTTGTGGATCTAGACCGACTCCTCTCCTCAGTATCATCTATATGAATATTTTTTAATTATATAAAAATAATAAAAGTAAAAAAAGTTAATACAAGTTCCGCGCGTCGAAGATCTCAATGTAGCGGAATCCTTAATAACGAATATACTCGCCCTCAAGCATGGTACTGAAAAATTATATTAAGCGAAGTAGGAAGGTTTTTTATTCTGATAATTATAATAAAACTTGAATGAAGCGGCCCTACTAATTAAACCTGTAGTAATCTTCAAGTTGAATAAGTTTGTGACAATTATATAAAAGTGTTATATCATAACAATTATTTACTTTCTTATAAAAAATATAATGAAAACAGTATATAGTTATATTACTATACATATAAAGTAGCAAGATTTGAAAATTATTTATAGCGAGAAGATATTTTTTATTGGTTATATAATAACTAACGTAGGACAATAATTGCTACCAATACAACTTTCATAGTGATGATTCATCTTGTGTCCTGAGTCAGGCGCAATATTTGCATATATCTTCCTCGTGAAGCTCAATAAATTTTATTAATCTCGTTTTGCTTCTTCCTCTTGCTTACGTGTTTTTTCTTAATGTATCTTTTAATTATTTATCATAACTATTAATAAGCTCCATAGCAATTATAAACTTTGCGAAAATAAAAAATAAACTAACGAATATTTTAAAACTTTTTGAAAATTTCCTGTAATTTTTTTAAATTTTCTATTAATATTTAAAGAAAATTCCATTTATGTAAGACATTTAATCAAATTATTTTATTTTTACTTCTTTTTAATATTAATAGTAAATAAGTGCTAACTTCTTATTATAATTTACTCCAATTCACTCCATTATAAATAAAAATTTGATAATACTATTTAATTACCCCGAATTTTAAAAAAATAATATTTTTACTATCAGTTTTTCCTTTATTAAGTATCTATTACAATTTCTTTTTATGTATTAATTGTTTATTTTCAAAAATAGTTGTATATCTATTTTTAAATTCAAATACTCTTTTAATTTTATTATGTAATAATACTAAGAAAGACTGCTCAAAGTTAACTTCATTCTACTTTATTATAAAATTTTGTATAACTTTTATTTTATTCAGTACTGGAACTAGTTAGGCCTTTACGTGAATCGCTTGAGCCTGCAACGTCTTCTTTACTGCATGGTATTTATTTAATAATATGGGAAATAATTTATTATATATTAAACATAAACTAAAAATATAAGAAGTAAAATGCTAGTAATAACATGTATTAATTATAAATTAAATAATATTGTAAAAAAATATATACAAGAATTTGGAAAATTTTATTAAAAATAATAACGATTAGTCCTTTTTAAAAGTCAAGGATATAATACTTATATTTTACGTAATAAATTATCAATTAAACAAAGTTATATTAATTATTATTATAATTATAATAATTAATAATAAATAATAATAATAAACAGCCTATTGGGAATCGCTAGATGATTACCGTTTTCAGGACATAAAGAACTTAATAGGAGAAGTTGTCAACGACGACTCACAGTATACACAGGGATTTGTTAATATGAGAGCTCAAAAGTGTTTTGCTATTAGGGTAGTAATGTATTATAATTATTATTATCTTCTAACCAGTGTTAATATTAAAATGATTTTTTTAGTACGATTTTTATTTTTATTATTAAATTTCTTTTGCTTAAAGTTATAGTTAAGTGTGAAAAACATTATAAATGTTTATCACTATTATTTTTATAGAAAGGAAAAAACGGACTTCTAGATGTTGGTACAAGAAAGTTTATATAAACTTTTTTAATGTTTTGTTAAGTTATGTGCAAAAGCAAGACAAACGTACACCGAATCCCTTCAAGATGTACAGGATGTATGCTTTTTATAAATTTGTGATATTTATTTTGTAATATTTTAAATAAATTTTAAATTATTTAACGTTTTTAGTGATAACTATTGTAATATAGAAAAATTTGGTTAACGTTATTTGCTACATTTGCTATAAAATTTTATTATTAAATAATAAAGATAAAAAGTAATATTCTCTAGTAATTACTTTTATTTGTTAATATTTTTATTATAAATTTTATAATATTTAATACTAATAATAATTGTATCATTTTCTAGTTTTTATTATACATTTTTTCTTGTAGTTTTTAAACTATTAGACGTAATTCTATTCACTTAAAATATTTGTTTTATATTGAATTATAAATTTTTAATATTACAATTTTAATTAATTTTTTTATATAACTTTTAGTATCTTTTTAAAATTGTTTATACTGTAATAATAAAATTTATATATTACCTATTATAATTAATTATACATTTTGTATTAATTTTAAATTTTTATTACGATTTTCATTATAAATATATACAAATAATAGTAAAATATAAATAATTTTCTTTTCAAATATTAAAAAAAATAATAATAACATTTAATTATATTATTATGTAAGAATATAAATAGATTTTTACGAATGTTATATCAAATTACTTGTAATAATTTTAATGAAGTTACTAACTAAAGTTTAATAAAGTTGGCTAGCGAGTATGAAAAAAAATATGAGCTTCCTTTTAAAGTTTCCTTTGCCAAGTCCAAAGGCTTTTATCTATTTCTTATTATTCTTATTTTAGTCAAAAGAATTATCGATATAATAATTTTAATTACTTTTTTGGTATTATAAAGTTTTTGTTATATTTATATTGTTTTTTTTTATAGGGTTTTTCTTAACAATTCATGCAAAGTTTAAAATAGAATTATTACCACCTGAATTTATTCAAGTTCATGTTACCAAAAATGGAAGGATTACGTGCACCTCCCATGTGCTCGTAGGAAATATCAATTATATTATATTTTATTATAAGAAATTATTAATTTTTTAAACATTCATGACCGGAAAATCTATAGAATCAGCTAAACGGTATTTATTATTGTTTATTATCACTATTATTTTTGTATTATTATTATAATTATTTATTACTTGTCTTTTGAAAATAAGGTCGCATTGAAGAATCACTTCAAGAAATTTATTTAATGTCAAGCGTGTACGCTGAAATCTTTTTATATAAATATATATACGCACTTAGATAGATTATTAATAAAAATAGTCGAAGTTTTTCAAATTTATAACATAAATTAATTTTTATTTAAGAGTACTTCGAGAAACGGTCGAAATAATAAGAATGCAAATTGGGTGTTTGTTTAAGGTCTTCTATAATAATAATATCTAGTAGTACTAATAATTATAATAATTATAATTATTATGCTCAACATTTGTTCAACTGTATAAATAGAATATACATAAATAATTGGTTATGAAAACATTTATAATTATCTTATGAAAAAATAAATATCTATATTTCAGCGTTATACTAAAAGGAAGTATTAAGAAGTTTAAAATAATCAAACTTACATTTTATTTTATTATAATTAATAAAGCAATAATAAATTACAACTTTATGTATATTTATTTTTTCCAATCAAAAGTTTACGACAAAGCAATTCCATCCTATGATTACATGTTTTATAAATATTTATAGACTACTGGTCCTTTTTTGTGGTGTATGAGATATATATACACGAAAAGTTTTTTAATTATATATTAAAGCATCCTAATAATATTTTCCATACGTAACGAAAAAAAGGACCCACTTGTGCAAATTTTTATATAAATATTATAAGCTACTAAAAAAACTATTTTTCAATATTTTTTTAATATATTAAAATATGAACGACTTAAATACTTTACTAAAATATGATTTTTGTATAAATGTGATACGAGAAATTTTAGCGAATTTTTGTACCATGAAAATTATATTATAATATTTAAAAAAAAAAAGTAAATTTAATTTTTTTAAGTATTTTTTTACAATTATTATAAAAGTTTAAATTTTTTAATAATTATTATCTTTATTAATTAATTCTACTAAACTTTTATATATTTCCTTTATTTTATACTTCAATAAATATTTTATAAAAAAAATTCTTTTTTGCTAACAACATTAATTTTTTGTATAAAATTGATTTACTACTAAATAAATATAGTTAACTGAATGCATTGCGGTGACTGACTTGTTATGTTCTTACGCTACTCTAGCTTTGAACTCTAATACCAAATATGGTGAGTCTTGAAGATAATTATGTTAATAAGGAATAAATATTAGTTTAATTAATAAGTGATTCTTAAAATTAATAATTAGAAGAAACTATAAAGTTTATATTTTTACTGTAATATACGAAAATTTTTATTAACTATGCATATAAAAAAAACTAATAAATATTATATTTAAAACCTTTCAAAACTAATAACAATTAAATGTAAAAATAAAAGGTTATATATTTTAAATAAATGATATATTAAAACGGCTTAAAACCAATAGTTATGAAAGTATTAAGTAGAAATTTTTTTTTATTGAAGTTAGTGAAAATAATAAAGTTTTGATAGTATTTATATTATGTAATAATATTATTTACTTTAAAATTGTAGATATTAAAAATAAAATTTTTATCATTTTAAAAATTTTTTTTAACAATATTAATAGTTAGTAACTTCTAATATTTATGGTAATTATAACGCCGTTAACTTTTACTTTTATTACTTTGAGTAACATTTATTTTAAACAATTTTTTCCTGTAAGTTTTATATATATTACTATACTAATAATAAATAGATATATCTATTATCTATTATAGTATTATAATTTTGTGTTTTTATCAAAATTTCTTATAAATTTAAAATTTTTTTAAACTTATATTTGGTAAATTATCTTTTTACAATAAAACTTTATTTTGTTCTATTTACATTAATATATTTAAAAAAATTACATATACATTTTCAAGAAAATATATTTATAAGTAAATTTTTTATTAATTAATTAATTGAATAAAACTTTTTCCCTTTCTTCACTAGCTAATAGTATTTTTTTAGAACTTTTAATTACTATTAACTGCTTTTATATTTATTATAAATTATTACAGGCGCACTCCGTTTTATTTTTATTATAAATATACTATTAAAATATTATTTATAGAAACTTTTACTTTTAAAAATACTATATAATATTATAAATTCATTATTAATCTTTTTTAAATTTTAAAATAAACTCCACAATAATTTTTTATTTTTTTATAAAAAATCCATAGTTTGAGTATACAAAGAATTATATTTTTTTCCTATCATATAATTTTAAAAAAGTCTTTTCAAAATTATTTTATTATTATATTTTTTAACAGTTATTATATATATTATAGTTGTTAATAAAAAAGTATTTATATACTCCACAATGAGT